TTTATTTATTTATTTATTTATTTATTGAATTCTTACTTTGCCTCTCAGACTATGTTTAGGTCTACTCTACAGATATCCTGAGGTGTTCCCCCCCCTCACTTTATTCTTTTATTATTCTTTCTTTGCCTCTCAGACTCCTGTTTCTTTCTTTTTAAAAATTTAAAGTTTTTTTATTTTGTTTATAACAGCATATAATACTATAGCATATAATACATCAGACTCCTGTTTCTCAGTTCCACAGACTTCCCTGTTACAGAATGAATGAAAATACACTGACATAAATCTAGAAGTTCTAGTTTTCTTATATTGGTGGCTTGTGAATAAAGTCTCACAGATTCAAAAATGGAAATGGGGAATATCAGCGTAGATGTCCATGAGACAGGGCTAACAGGTTGGGAACCACTTGCAAAGTTATAATTGTCCTCACTTCTCATTTACATGGTTTCTGCTCTGGATCATGATCATGTCACATGCAGAAGGAGCTTTATACCCTCCCACTGTTACCCTGAAATGAGATGGTCCAGGAAGGTAACCAGCATGGTATAGTGTTGTATTAGGACCTAGAAGACTCACATTTGAATCTCCACTCTGCCACAGAAACTGAGTGGGTGACCTTGGGCCACTCACTCAGCCTAAGGTACTTTTCAGGGTTGTTGTTCTGAGGATGAAATGGATGGAAAAGGCACAATGTCGAGCGGCCTAAAAACCAGTGTTATAAGTCACTTTGTGTCCTGTTGGGAAGATCATTTTTACCCACAAACCAGCCCTGTAAAGTAATTTAAACTGAGATATGATGATTTGACCAGGATTACCAAGTGAACTTGGAAGATAACCCAGGATTTAATCCAGGATTTTCTATAACCCAATTCCACACTTTCTGGTACTGTACAGACAGCCTGTTGCAGATCTGTAAACACATTTTCATTTTTAAAAAGAACTCTTGTTGAACTGTTTCAATTATTTATGGGCATTCTAGTAATCTACAGAAACCAGAGACTGTGCTGGAAGGAAGTTCAGTTGATGTAACACAGCAAATTTACATGTAACATGATGAAGATGTTTTAAGTTATTGAGTCTCAATTTACTTCCAACAATTAGAAAAGATGTCTTTACACACTTATTCCCTATTTTGATATATTTATTGCTTTGGTGTCCTTTCCCCCCTTAATTAAATCAAAACAACTGTTGACCTTATAACCTTAGCTTGTTATTTAGTTCTGTTTTTTAGTAACTTAGAACATCTTGATCATGTTACATGTAAATTTGCAGTTCAGCCTGCCTATAAGTTTGAACTCTAACTTCTATTCCAGTGTATTTGAAAAGCTCATACCTTGAATAAACTTCATATAAATAGTCAATCCCCTTACCCTAAACCACAAAACTTTTAAAGACTGGTTAGCAGAGAAACACCCCCAAAACACTCAGTCCTCCACTTGCCAGACTTTTATTCATTTTTTATCCTTCTTCTTTTTTTTTTTGCCAGAGAGCTAGAGCTACATACAAGGTTCTCCCCTTCTCCATTTTATCCTCACAACCCATATGCAGGGAGCCTGATACTGACTGAGGAATGGGTAGTCCAGCACTGTTGACCACACTTGCTCTTTATTTATCTTTCTTAAAGAAAGTATAAAGGAGATGTTAAACTTCAAACAATGTGGTATTTTTGTTTCTTTTTTTAAAAAAGGCATCCCTCTACAACCAGGTTTAATAATTCAAATCTGCTCTGTTGGTCATTTGCTTGCCCACCCCTTGAATGAAACACAACACAAGTTATGGGTTAAACTGGGAATTTTATTTATACCTAAGCTGATCAGCACCAACAACTTAAAGCACGTGTTGCATTGGACTTGCAAAGCAAGTCTTTTAACAGGGCAAGCCCATCCCAACTCAGAGCCAGGTCTGGAATCCTTCTGGACCTTACGCATCATGGCCCGGACATGATCCTGGGGTGGAGACCACCAACCTAGTGCCCAGATCGTTGCCCCTGAAATGCATGACCACGGCCTGGGAAGGTGCTCCAGCCAACCAACAATAATCTGGAGCTACCAACCATTATACTGGTGACCTCTGCCCTCGTGCCACTTCCTTTAAGGCAAAACAACATCAGCCAGCACCAGTGATTTTGTCAGCACCAATGCCCAGGGGCTGTCCATGGCCCAATGGCAGGCCCAAGAGGGATTAGACCCCAATCATTTGGTTGTCCACACCATGCCAATGTCCCAGATTGGGTATCACAGTCACCCTTCCACCATCCTCCCAGGCCACTCCCTTGGCCACCAAGAGCAACTTGATTCCTCTCTGTGTTAAGGAAATTTCCCCCATCAATCTAACTAATGTCCTGATGAACTGTGGGTGAAGTGCTGCCTGGTTCCAGGCACCCGTGGTGCCACCCCCCCTTTCTGACCTCCCCCTGTGGCCTGACCTGAATACCCTTTGACTGCTCCCACCCGCCCCTGGCTGAATTGCTGTCATCACCAGATGCCCTATAATAGGCCTGGCCACAGGGCTCCGTCTCCTCAGGGGTGCCCTTATCACAGGAGGATGCAGGGTGTGTGCCCCCACA